ACATGTATTCATCAAATGACCAGATCGCAACGATTTCACCGGGCCATCTAAATATTTCACAGTTAGAGTTACATCGCATGCATATGTTTAAAAAACGACCAATTATTTACCATTACTAAAATAATTGGCTAACATAGATGACAAAGCTAAATTACGATAGCATTTTTTTCAAGTTTTAAGTGTATGTGCACTAGTTTGATCTATTGGATGGTCACGTGAGAAGGTTTGGGAGAACTGAGTCACCGCGCTGGCTGCAACCGATTTAAAAATATACGATAGTACCAGAAAGCGATGTAACGAACGTATGCTAATTGTGCTCAACCGTTGCGAAATTGTCGTTGTTATTGTTTTGTGTCGATGTTAGTTTGTTTTCTTAAATTTTAAGGGGGCAAGTGTATTCAATCGACTAATTGTTGGGTGAGTCGAAGACTAACGCTTAGTCTCTGAATATATATCATTTTGATAGTAAATAATAAACCCATTTAAATTGAAATGGAGCCCTAGATGACCCGAGATTTAGAACCTGGAGAAATCTAGACTTGCTTCATTTATGGCTTTAGATTTGGATTGTAGGGGAAAAAGTCCTCGGTACAAATGTACCGGAAAACAAGTACTCATGAGAAAGTCCTATTGTAATAAAATCCTATTCATTCATCAACTTTGATGTCAAAGATTTTAGAAAAAAACATTCATAACTCACACATATGGGTTATGAAATAGATAAATTGATCTTTTATCATTTGTTTTTGTTCACTGATTATGTTGTGATTTGAGTTAATTACATTGTAAGCCAGTGTTTCATCTTATTGATTAGAGTAAGAAAATTAACTAGACTGGTTTCAGTTTGTAGTGTAAGGTATAGTGAGTGAGTGAGTTTTACGCCGCACACAGCAATATTCCAGCTATATGGCGGCGGTCTGTATATAATCGAGTCTGGACCAGACAATCCAGTGATCAACAGCATGAGCATCGATCTGCGCAATTGGGAACCGATGACATGTGTCAACCAAGTCAGCGAAACTGACCACCCGATCCCGTTTGTCGCCTTTACTACAAGCATGGGTTACTGAAGATCAATATTCTAACTCGGACCTTCACGGGTATCCTAGTATATGATGATTAGGGGACATTACAGTCTGACGGTGCCAAGGTCTAACACTCCTTGAGTTACCCCCATGTTATATTTGTATGTCTTTATAGTCCAAGGCCAAAGCTACAAAAGTCTTTTAGGATCTCTCAGCAGCAGTAAATATGTTATCCAGTAACTAGTATGACACCTCCACTCTCCACAGAGGGTAACAGGTTACTAAAAACAAACAAGGTTTACCCCACTGTTGAAACAGTGTCCACGTGTTCATAAACCACCTGCATGAGTATTAACCACATGGTCTAATGGTAGGTGACCGAAACTGGTGTTCAACATGGTCAAGATATGCAGTATAGGTGGATAAGGCCGCGTGTATCATATTACCTGATTTTGATTGTACGACTGTGGAGAATCGAACCCAGGTTTTCGCTGTGGCGAGCGATCACTTTAACAACTAGGCTACCCCAGTGAGTGATGAGTGAGTGAGTTATATTTCAACCTGTAAACTTGAATGAGGAACAAAAGCTCGAACTGTCACTGGTGCTAGATGCTTACCACTATGGTGTAACCCCCGACCATGGAATGGAACTGACAAAAAAACAATAGTAACTCGAGAAAGTCAGGAATCAAAACAGGCTGTAGGAAAAAAAGTCCTCTGGATAAAAAGTCCTCGGTACAAAAGTACCGGAAAAAGCACTCCGGGAAAAAAAGTCCTATTGTAATAGAAACTATTTATTCATCAACTTTGATGTCAAAGATATTAGAAAAAACATTCATAACTCACACCTATGGGTTATTAAATAGATAAATTGATCTTTTATCTTCACATGTGTCCATGCACGTATTTGTTCACTGATTATGTTGTGATTTCAGTTGATTACATTGTAAGCCAGTGTTTCTTCTAATTGATTAGAGTAAGAAGATTAACTAGACTGGTTTCAGTTTGTAGTGTAAGGTATAACTATGTATCCCAGTACAACATCAGTAACGATTCCACCATGGAAGTTATTCAGACCAACAAGGGTGGTTTGAAGCTAGTCTTGGATGGGTATATGTACACCAATCACGTAAGTAGAAAAGCCAAGATTGTTTGGAAATGTAGTCGTAAGTCCAGTATGAACTGCCAGGGCCAACTGTTGACCAACATTGAAAACAGAAATCCAGAGCTGAGCAAACCCCATAACCATTCTCCTGATGAGACATGAAAAGTCTATAAACGCTATGAAAAACTAAAAAAAAAAATTTTATTCAAAAATTCCTTTTTCAAAATAGGACTTTTTTTCCTGTGGACTTTTTTTCCAAGGCAAATTTTGGACTTTTATGGGGTACTTTTTTCCGAGGACTTTTTGTCCGGACACATAGCATTGCAGGAAGGGCTAAACTGTAGGGAAAACTATGTGATTAAGGGACTGTTAAGGGACAGTAAGACAGACTAGGTGAGTCGCAGAAAAAGATATCTGGTAGTGTGTTTGGATGGTTCGTCATGACTGCACTGATTTCAGAGTATGAGCTGGAGATTTTATGAGCGCTTCAAGAAATTCGTATTACGTACATCGAAGATAGTTGCCAATTAACTGCACTAAAGCCTTAAACCCTTTCTGCAGAATGTAACAAAGCTGATAATAAGTACACTGAAAACATGATTATAGACTAGTGTTGCTGGACCCCGAATACTGAGTCACTTTGATTACTTAACTTTGATGTAGATGAATGAATAAAACCAGAGACCATATCCCCCTCATTTCCTTCTGTAGCTGACGTTTTGAGTATTTAGCTACAGCACCTCCACGTACACGGAGAAATAATTCCACAATGAAGTCCTAGACTTTGAGCTTCAGTCCATCCTCACAGGAGAGTAATTTGTCCCAGTAGTAGGAGACCATGTAGCTTGACATTACTGTCTCTTTAAGTTTATCACATAAGAGAGAGGAGGCGCACAACTGAGAAAGTTGAACATGCTTTCTAATTTCAATTTCAAATGACCTTATAAGTAGAAAGAAATTGCCACAAGGGAATTTTAGACCCCCTCTGTTCATTTTCTCTGTCCACTTACTAAACCTGACAATGTACTCTTCTTTGGAAGTTGCATCAGAAATTAAAAAGAGTTCTCCAAGGTGTTGCTCTATATCCATTCCAAAGATAGCCGTTTTCTTCAATAGAGCATGCAGTATCCAGATATATAGTACAACACTGCCTGGTCATTGTCACTGATTGCTGATGCTGTTTGATGCGACTGTTTCTGACTGGATTCTGACAGGTGCTTTAGCATGTTCCTCAAGATGCGATCCAACAAGCATTGTGCAAAGATGTGGATAATCCTGTGTGATTCACTTGTCACTTCGACCAAAATGTTGAGAATGTCTGATTGCAAGTCTTCATTCAGTGGCATCTGATGAAATTTCATCAATAACTGTTTTCTGTCAGACGAAAGGGAACAACTTTTTTCCAAACTTGTCAAAAACTGAATGGAATTCCGGATTTCTGTGAACTGTTGGTCTGTCGCTGCATTCTTTTGCAACAGCCACAAGATGAGGGCCATTCAATGAACATGAAGCGTCGTTCATAGGGTCAAGGATTATTGTTGAAAAAGACTTTGGTAGGACTTCTGTGAGAATACCCCGCATGTCGGCATCTGTTGGCAAGAAAACTGGGGTGTTTTCCTCTTTACTGTGAGTATCCGTCCTGTCTGCTGAAGGGGGGTTGTCTTTGTTTTTGACAGTGGAGCCCAGTCGATGTTCATGTGCTAAAATGAAAACAGGTATTGACATATTCAAGTGATGCATATTGACTGATGACATAGCATTAATGTGAGAGTTTGATCGGACTTCACCACAGATAATCAATATATAAATTGTGTGAAATGTAAGAGAAAGTAGGTTAATTCATGGCAGTTGCTGAGGTATACATTTAATATGAAGGAAATAGTGGAATTACCGGTAAGAAATGGTGGCCTGAGATAAATCATTCAAATATATTATTGATTTCACTAATGTGAAGTGAAAACATGCTAATGGTGACAACCGGGCTGAAACAACATGTACTTATCTGAGGAATGTGTATAGTTTGATCAGTTTATGATCAGTGTCACTGTTGGAAGAAATGTGTTAAAATTGTGTACATTTTGTAAATACTGAAGATGCCTTAAGACAATAGCATATCATTATTTGATTTAACAAATCGGAGCTTGTATATATACTCTGATACATTGAATAAATTGAATGCTTACCTTTAATATCTGATCTGTTGTGTTTCTTGGTAACATGACCACGAAAGCCCCCGATACTCCGGTAGGTTTTTCTGCAGAATGGACGAGCATTTTGCTATGTATTCTCTTTCCCGTGATGATTAGGAGAGGTGGTTGACGGAGCTTTGTCATCTTCAGATCTGTCAAAGTACATGTCATCACCGCCAAAGCCAAAGCAATCTTCATCACTCAGACGTTCAGTGTCATAATCTGTATATTCGCCAAATAGTAAGTCTAAATCCAAATTGGAATCGTCCCAGTGAATAAAGTCGTCCATATCGAAGATAATGGTAAAGTAACATGTTCGTTTTTCCCTTATAAAGGGACGTACATCCGACAGCAAAAACATTGTTTACAGAAATGTCGGAAGTGTAAACAGTCTACATGTGCGTCTGTGCGGGGATGAAGGGAATTAACTCTTGACACTAAAACATTGTGTAATATGTTTCACCTGATTACGGAAGTCCAGTGTTGAGGGAATCTGCGCATGTGCTACGCATCTGGACCACAGCCAGGGAAAACACCGCAGGGGTTCACGGGGTATCGTTTGCACTCATTATCGCGACAGTGATGGTTAATGATAAAGTACTGCTGAGGCCTGTCCCTCGGTATATGGTCTCTGATAAAACAAACACAACGGAAAATGGAAACGACAATCCTAAAAGTAAATACAAGAAAATAAACCCATTTATTCAGGAAAAATAATTCTTTCTTGAGTGAAAACAGTTGACAATCAAAACATTAATCGTTCGCATTTAGTCATTCGCCACACCTCGGAATTCCAGACATTCGGCGTTTAGCAATACTCACTCACCCATTCAAGACTCTGTGGCCAATAGTAGTTTGGAAAAATCACGAGGTATCGACGTAATGTGTAGCACAGTGACGTTGATCGTAAACGTTAAGACTGGCGAACACAGAAGTTGCCCAACATATGCAATTTATAATACTGTAGCACACAACCTTTCATTTTATAAAAAGCTGCATAAAAAGTTTCATAACACGGTTACGAGTTTATTAATATACATACACATTTAATGGTCTGGCCTTGCTTTGACCTCGAACTTGGAGAAGATGTTTTTGAACGACCGAGTCCTTTCATGTCATTACATTTTACACACAAAGAAACATCGGCAACGGTTCAATGCCGACAAAAAACAAACACATATAACGTCACTGGTTAAACTCTTCCGTGAAGAGGCTACGGAAGCTCCAGGAGATCTTTGTCTTCATACACTCTCTGCGTGATGTCATAAAGAGGCTGACCGGAAGTCACCACCTCTCCGAGCGTGCGCATAACGGATTCATAGTCTTGTTTACACATGACGTCAATCAGGCTCTTTTTCGAGGGAAGCATGTACATCGCTACTCCGGCCATTTTCCGGAGGATCCATGTATTGAATCGGGACAAAGTCTGGTTATAAACTTCAGAAGCTATCACAGAAGATTTCTCGTTTTCTTCCCCTGTCCTTAATCGAGACATAAAAACCAGAATAAATTCCAAAGCTCGATGTAACCTCAGCAACGTCCTTGACCCTGACTTCAGATTGCCCCTAATGACCTTCGTAAGGTCATGGTCGACCTCGTGTTGGATCATCGACTGCACTGTGACGTAGTGGACTTCGTCAGCCGCCAGGTGCTCGTTTAGAATTCTGATTTTGTCTTCCAAGTCCCTCGCAACAAAACCAAACAATGTGCCGGTGAGCTTGAAAAATCTGGAAAAAGATATACGTTCAAAAATAATTATTCAACTCAATTTAGCAATAACTGGTGAATAATAGTGCAGTCATAAATTTGTCATATGACCTTGACCTTAATAATCGAGTTACAATTCGGAGACACGGGTGGAGCACATTCGTGACCCACTCGTGTTATTCCGGGACAAGCCGAATAGCTTCTTGGAGGTTACGGAAAGAGGCGAGTGGTGACGAATGGGGTGGAGCAGTCCCCCAGAACCCCACAATCTGCTATGCGGAGTTGCGCCCCTTAGGTGTGTCAAGAACAGTGGATAGTTGGTTCGAATCCCAGTTCTTCACGAGTACTAGGTCTAACAGTCATACACCGTGGGTTTCAGCAAAGCTGTAACTGTCTCAGACATGTACTCAGACTCCGACATTCAATTGACACACGACAGACATGACTGTTCAAAGGGCATTAACTTAAACCCTCTCGCTCGATTTTCTCTTAATGGTAGACGCTAACAACATAGGATCGACCCGTGAAGATCCGGGTAAGAATTGATCTTCAGTAACCCATGCTTGTCGTAATAGGCCACTAACAGTATCAGGTGGTCAGACTCGCTGACTTGGTTGACACGTGCCATCGTATCCCAATTGCGTAGATCGATGCTCATGCTGTTGATCACTGGGTTGTCTGGTCCAGACTCGATTATTTACAGACTGCCGCCATATAGCTGGAATATTGCTGAGTGCGGCGGAAAACTAAACTCACACACGTATTTACAACATGGGCTCTGAAAAATGGTGATAAAGACGTATACATCAATGACATCACACATTGAAATCTACATCTCCCGAATAATGACATACATTACACTTGAATCTTTGTGACATCGAGAGGGGTTCGTTCACATGTGTAGCCGGTCACAGTAGAGCAGGATCTGAGTCGCCTTATCTTGTCTCCGGGCATGCGATGAATTCCTTCCTTGTTGGCCAAACGTGAATCATCACTGAATCGTGTTCCCATGCTGACGTATTACACTACCTTATTCCGCGTTCATTCTTATATACAATACCCTTTCGAGACATCAGCTTAGTTTAACACCGGTTTCATCAGCATTCAGTTATCGTCAACGTCGTCATGTCGTAGATGTTCAGGGTTTGGTATCGGGAGGTCATCGGTAATATTATCGGTATTATCATCGCAGCAAATCTTAAAGTAATGAGCTGGGTTCCCCACTGACTTCAACAAAGTTTCAGCAATATTGAAGCAGCGTTTTAAATTAACTTTGGCCATTAGGCCCAGAGACGACTGAAAACCACTCGGACCCACAGCTTTTGTTTTCTGCAGGTCCTTATGGCCGACAGCTTTTCCATCCCCAATAACTAAGAGTATTATTTCCATATTAAAATATAGGGCCTACACATTCTGATCAGATCCCACAAGTTTTTATGGTTCTGGGTGCCGTTGTACAAAGCAGTCTTTGCGCTAAGGTGACCATAACTCCCATAGACTTAAGGTAGTGTTAGCGCTAAGGTTGTTTCGTACAACGGCACCCTGGGTCCTTAGGGCCTGCTAACCGCCTCCGTGGTGTAGTGATAAGAGCGTCCGCCCGGAGAGCGGAAGGTCGCGGGTTCGATCCCCGACCGTGTCATACCAAAAGACGTTAAAATATGGTATTTGTTGGTCCCTGCCTGGCGCTCGGCATTAATGGGTACAACAAGGATTGGTCGGCTCGGAGTCAGTATAGTGTGTCTGACTGGGGTATTCATGCTTCACTGCGGCATGGTATCTCAGTGGGCTACCACTATAAAACCAGCTTAAGTCTGGGCTAGTACAAGCAGCCGCACATACACATACACACGCATGCACGTCGTCATATGAGCGAAATATTCTCAAGCACGACGTAAAACCCAATTTCACCTCACCATCTTAGGGCCTGCAGCCTTTCAGGGTTAAGGGCAAACGCTGGATTGAAGCGAAGTACCCATTAAATGGACTCACAAGTAGTTTCCATGTGGGGAATCGAACCCTGACCCTACCGTTCCCTGAGATTGTCTGACATATTTTACAACCAACTGATAATAACTAGACCCAAAATAAGACATTGGGCCATGACTCGAGAAGTGTGTGTTTACCTGCACATTTCCGTGAACGCCCTTAGGTACTCCCTCAACACCAACGTATCGTCGCTCTGGCGACATCGCTGAAAAGCTTCTAAAACAACCACCAGATCAAAATCCTTCTTCTTCGTGTCAAACGTTGCCATGTCTGTCAATAACTCATCCGTGAGTGGACGAACTTATGTGACCATAACCTGAATAGATTCTGATGACTTCTTGTCGTCATACAGTGAGTGAAGGGAGGTAACTGCAATCGTTGATTGTATATACCGGAACTCAGTGAGTTTGTGCACCTCATTAACGGATGCTTCGAAACTGCTGTGACGCACAACACTTGAATTAACGCACCCGTTACTTTTGGACATCTGTTTGGATTCATCCTGATTATGATATAGTCGCAGACTGTGCCAGGCCGACGCTCTGGTATAAAGGACAGAGCGCCTGCCTGGAAAACCGACAGTCTGTAGTTCGATCCTTGGTTGCGTTGTACCAAAAATGTTGAAAGATGGCACATGCTATTCACGAAGGGAAAGAACCGGTCTACCCGAACCAGGATTCTGTGTCGGGGTGGGGTGTACATGTTTAACTGCGGCATTATACCTCTGCAGAGTAGCCTTGTATCTATAAAACTGAGTGAGTGAGTTTAGTTTTACGCCGCACTCAGAAATTTTTCAGCTATGTGGTGGCGTTGTGTAAATATTCGAGTCTGGACCAGACAATCCAGTGATCAACAGCATGAGCATCGATCTGCGCAATAGAACTGCATTAGTGGGGACAAGTAAAGGCAGCGAGGTTCACACATACGTGCATGCACGTTACAATATAAGTCACAAACTCTAAATTAAAAATTTTCATAACCAATTATGATTGTTTATATATGTTATAATAGATACAACATTCGCTTAATGATCTTTATTATAAAAAAAACAATCGAATGGAGTCCAGTGAGTGAGTGAATGAGTGAGTGAGTATGGTTTTACGTCGCTTTCAGAAATCTTCCAGGAGGCGGGGATAGAAATGGGCTTCATACGTTGAACCCATGTTGCGAATTGAACCCGGGACTTCAGCGTGACGAGCGAACGCCTTAACCACTAGGCTACCCCACAGCCCCCAAAATGAGCCCCGAGACTGTTCATTTTCAGCAACTGCGCCAATCAAAACTTGCCAACTGTTATGCACCGGTGTTGGCCATTTTGTATATATATTTCCACGGCCTGGATCACAGAATAACAACAGATGTACGTGTGATCTTATGGCTGTATTAATACAGCATATCCAACAAAAAACGGAATAAAAATCACAAACATTCAATAAGAATTTAAAAAATATTTATTCATAAAATAATCATGTCTAGTGATAAAACAAACGGATTCTCACGAGCAACAAGAAAAAATACATTATGATTGGTCGTGTTTCTCGGTTAAACGGGACTTGTAAATTCGTGATGAACAGTGAGTGACAAACACGGTATCGTCACGGCGTGTCGGAGTAATATTGGCAGGCGCCCCTGAGTAACATATATATCACAATTTTACAAAACAAATATCATATAGGACGGCACTTGGATTACAACCAACGACCAGCAGATCCTGTCGACAAAGGGACACAACTCTGCCACAATGTGCCCCCCCCAGGGCCACGGTTGTTGGTTATAAATACAGTAAAATAGCTAACACGCTTATAACGAACTGACGGATATAACGAACTGACGGATATGACGAACAGACGGATATATCGAACTGATGGATATAACGAACTGTTTTTGGTTACATATTTTAGCCGAAATGCGTTTAACACAATACAGATATAACGAACTACAATGAGTGGTCCTTATGAGTATCATATGTATATATATATATGGAATACTATCATCAAATCACTATAATCTTGCATATTGTTTGGCAATATGAAGTGATGAGAGGAAAGAGGTAGGTGACGTTAAGATATTGACAACAACCTAGGTTTTGCTGCAGATATCACTTGAAGCCGTGCCTCTCAGATGTCAGGTTCACATGAGCTGCCAACTTCAAGACATTGTAATTAATACAAAATGTCAAACTGTGACATTTGCTTCGTGTATATTTTTGGGAAATCTTTAACCTTTAAATAATATCTTATTCCCCGGCAGTTCACTTTGGTGATCACACTATTCTGAGTTAACCGGGACATAGGATTCTATGGAGGTTGTATACCACAGCAACTAACGCGTGGCATTTCAGGATATATACCCGCCAATACACACATCGTACTGCTAGCGAGTACACACTAACCAATCGTGACCTGTCGTGACCGTTCGTGTCATTCCGGCAAAACCTCGAGGAAGTATCCAAAGAAACGATCGAGAAATGACAACGAAAATGGTCACTTGGGAAAAGGGAAAAACAATCTCATTTGAAAAATGTATTTCGACAAAAGAATCCCTTCTTTTAAATGTTTGTAAAACATATACATTTCATCCAATAAAATACCTGAGTTATAGTCATAAAAGTTGTTCCGAACTAATTTTCACCAGAAGGCCTGTTTGGGTATGTCTGTGCTACTTAAAGTAGAAGTTTTGTTCCCGATTCATGGCAATGTCCATGCATCCCGAGATTGAAACAAAACCCAATTCGTTTGTCCGGGATTGAGCCGAGAGGTGACGAAAGGCCAAGTAGTTACGGAAAACAGTATTTGTGACCCACTCGTGTTATTCCGGGACAAGCCAAAATTTCTTGGAGGTTACGGAAAGAGGCGAGTGCTGACGAGTGGGCCAGTGGTGGGCGAGTGGTGACAATTAGCCATACGGCAAACTTCGTCTTTTCCGGTTCATGTGAGTGAGTGGGTCGACATTTATCGTCGCACAGGCGATATTGTAACCAAATTCAGTCGCAATTTACAATTTCGAATTCCAAAATGAAAAGATAAACTTTGTATCTTAGTTGTAAATACAAGGAACTACCGTCAATGGCCCAGTTCCGACAAAACCCGTCACGTATTATGGCGCTGTTTCAAACAAAACTGTTGAGACAATGGAGGGTCTGGCCTTGCTTTGAGTGGATGTTTTTGAGCTACAAAGTCTCGTAATACCATTAAGAACACCGGCCACGGTTCGGTTCCAACCAAAACAGAAATATAAAATGGCACTGGTTAAAACTCTTCCGTGAAGAGACTATGGCAGCTCCAGGAGATCTTTGTCTTCGTACAGTCTCTGCGTGATGTCATAAAGAGGCTGACCGGAAGTCACCACTTCTCCGAGCGTGCGCATAACGGATTCATAGTCTTGTTTGCACATGACATCAATCAAGTCCTTTTTCGATGGTAGCATGTACATTGCCAATCCGGCCATTTTCTGGACAACCCACGGGTGGAATCGGGACAAAGTCTGGTTGTAGACTTCAGAAGCTATCGCAGAAGACTTCTCGTTCTCGTCTCCGGTCCTAAGACGAGACATGAAAGCAAGGATAAATTCCAAAGCTCGATGTAACCTTAGCAACGTCCTTGACCCTGACTTCAGATTGCCCTTTTTTACCTTTGTAAAGTCATGGTCGACCTCGTACTGCAGCATGGACTGGACTGAAGTGTAGTGTATCTCGTCAGCTGTCAGATGCTCGTTTAGAATTCTGATTTTGTCTTCTAAGTCCATCGCAACAAAACCAAACAATGTACCGTTGAGCTTGAAAAATCTGGAAAAAGAGATATTTAAAAAGAATATAAATTAAATATAATCCATCTTATCGTGATAATTGTTTTACGCTCCTTTTGGCAATAATCCAGTGGCAACACCAAATATGGGATTCACTTACTGTACACCTATAGTTGGGAATTGAACCTGGTCCTTAAGAGAGTGAGTGAGTTAAAATTTAAAGTCACTTTTGGAATATTTCAGCCATATCGTGACTACCTGGTCCTTAAGCGTAACGAAATGCACACGCTAACTAACCGTTCACATACTCCTGATTGCGACAAATACCCTGACTGTAGTGAGTGAGTGAGTGAATGAGTTTTACGCCGCTTTTAGCAATATTCTAGCTATATCACGGCGGGGGACACCAGAAATCGGCTTCAAATGACTAAGACCAACAGCGAACGTTGTTGATGCGATAAATGAAATAAATCTATGTTTCCTTCAACGAAGAGTGGACGAGATTGGGTGGTCAGGCTCGCTGACTAGGTTGACACATATTATCGTATCACAACTGCGTAGCATCGATGCTCATGCTGTTGATCACTGCATTGTCTGGCCCAGACTAGATTATTTACAGACTGCCGTCATATAACTGGAATATTGCTCAACGAAGAGTGAGTGAGTATGCTGGAATATTGCTAAAAGCGGCGTAAAACCAAACTCAGTCAGTCAACGAAGAGCTTCAAATATTTCCATGTTGATGGTGAGATGTATAATGAATAATTGTACATACATCACACGTCAATGCATATGAATACATAATCATACCCTTTACAAAAGTTGGTTTTACTTTGTGAAATGGTTTTATATGCTACTTTTTGTAATATGGCAGGGACACCAGAAATCATCTTCACACACTGTCCCCGAGCGGAGATTCGAACCCGGACCAGATTTTAACCACTACTTCCACCGTGAAGTGAATGTTATACGCTGCACGTATATCGTAAAGTATACACCGTATGACTACAGTTCCGGCGCATGGATAGCCCAGTCAATTAAGGTGACGCAGTTCGCTGTTTAGAGTTGCGTCCCTTGGGTACACCAGACACCTATGGTTATGAGATCGAACCCCTGTTATGTTTCAGGGTTTGTCAGCAACATGCCCGTGCATGTCAGTGAGTGAGTTTAGTTTTACGCCTTTAACAATATTCCAGCAATATCATGGCGGGGGACACCAGAAACGGGTTTCACAACACATTGAACCCATGTCGGGAATCGAACCCAGGTGTTCGGTGTGACGAGCGAACGCTTTAACCACTACTAGGCTACCTTACCGCTTGTGGCAGTGACTGATTGCAAGATTAACATTTTATATGACGAGGCGGTACGTTTTAGGTTCGAGTAGGCGGTGTTAGAGTGAAAAAAAAATGTCGGTGGGGTGGGGGGTTCGGGGGAGAGGTTGGCTGGGCAATAAAGTTAGAAGGGTCGGTTGGGCGACGAGTAACGCAGAAAAGAAAAGACTAAAATGCACACTATTGGGTTGTTTCAATGGCGTGTCATCGCACAACACAATTTGTACATCACGTGAGTTTTTGTACTAATTTATAGCTGGAATACACATGTTCAGGGCCTAGGGTAAATTGGTGATAGTTCAGTGTAAACAAGAACATTATTTGGACATGGAAAAATACAACGGAATGTTAGGAGGGTTATATCACACACTGATTTGAGCCGTGTCAGCAATTGTGAAGATTACAAGCCCCAACCACAAACGGAGGGTCAACACTACGATTTGTATTAATAGTGGCTTAAATTGATATATAATGTGACTTAGTTGTGTTGCCTTCAGCAATAGTACATAATAAACACGAAAATATTGATACTACGCCAACAGAACGACCTAAGTATAACCATGGTTAGGGCGGCCTTTTCCCGTCAACTTGCCCTAATCGAGTATACGCAATCACCGCTGTTACTGCAGAAACACATTCCCCGACCCCCCTCGCTTACCGCAGTGTAGGCAACAGAATCTGACCGTGGAACTGTTTAACTGGGTCAAAGAAAGTCCTGGCCACGAGAAAACTTGTGATCAGATCAATTGAAACAGCAGGATATACGGATGGCCTAGAGTTGTATAACGTGTGTATAATGACGGTTATCGTATTGTCACGCGAGGTCACAAAGGTCTTTGGTCGATGATGGACCCATGACTCGGCAAATCGTGTATTATTTACCTGCATAGCTCGGTGAACGCCGTCAGGTACTCCCTCAACACCAGCGTGTCGTCGCTCTGTCGGCATTGTTGAAAAGCTTCGAAAACAATCACCAGATCAAAATCCTTCTTCTTCGTGTCAAACGTTGCCATGCTCGCTAAGAACGCTGCAACTGATTGATAAACAAGTCGTGCGTATTTACGACTTGAATAGAGTCCGTTGACGACCGTCGTTATACAAGTCTAAAGGGAGGTAACTGCAGTTATTGAATGCATGTCCCGAAACACCAGCGAGACCCACTCTGCATGATAGATTTACTTAATAGATTCCGGAGCAAATTGAGGTAGAAAGGGAAGTAACTGCAATATGTCCATGTCGGCGAAGACACCGTATCACGTGTTCGATCACATAAGTGAGCTGTTAGATGTGCGTGTACACAGGGTACGATAGATAGAGAACTTACGAGCGCGGCCATTTTTCTGTCCTCAACCTCGATACCCTTAGTAATATTGTGTGTGTGTTGTTTATCGATGCACTCAGCAAGATCACAGCTATATGACGGCGGTCTGAAAAAAATCGAGTCTGGACCAGACAATCCAGTGATCAACAACATGAGCATCTATCTACGTAACTGGGATACGACGACGTGTGTCTACCAAGGCAACGAGCCTGACCGCTCGATCCAATTAGTCGCCTCTTAAGACAAGCATAGGTCGCTTTAGACCAATTCTAACCCATTTTTTAAAAATGATACGATGAGGAGAGGTCAAGCTGGTCTTGTTCAGTTATGTGTGTGGATGGGTTAGAGGTTTTTATATTACAACAGGGCACAAATTTTCCACAGTGATGGGGAAATTTCAGATATGAAAACTCATATCGATATCTTTATTTTTTATGAAAATTCAGGGTGGTCAGGAGATCACTGAAAAACAAGGACACCCTGTGGTCAGTTTGCTGTATCAGGGTTAAAGGTCAAAGTCGAACATGACTAGTTGAGTTAAATCTATAAATATAGATCGTTGCAATCGTGTGTGTCATATTTATCATCACATGCTTTATCGCATCTTTACGTGACATCCCTGTGGTATTTCACAGCGGAAAGTTAACTGTAACCATGGACACCTACATAATTGTAATCTCTAACTGGGTCAACATGACATCTAAAGTATGCTAATTGTATAACGCGTAGAATGTCAAAAAGTCACATACACATATGTACAGTTGAATGTGTGAACGGTGTTCCAGTATGTCACCTCCTGTCAGCTTACTGTGTGTTGTGCAATGCAACAGTCAGAAATGTTCCTGCTGTATGACGGCGGTTTATGAATAATCGAGTTTGGACCAGACTATCCAGTGGTTGACCGTAGAAGCAATATATCAATTATATATATACTCAGTTATGACACACCACCTGAACAAGTTACACTACCAGACAGACCACATCGTCAATTATCCAGGACCCATGAAGAATCGGGTTAGAATTGATCTTCAGTAATCCATGCTTGTCGTAAGAGGCGACTAACGGGATCAGTGGTCAGGCTCGCTGACTTGGCTGACACACGTCACCGTATCCCAATTGCGTAGATCGATGCTCATGCTGTTGATCACTGGATTAGTTACAGACCGCCGCCACGTAGCTGGAATACTGCTGAGTGCGGCGTTAATCAACAAACCAACCAAACAACGATTATCCACTATTTTATTGCTATTCTGTTTTGAAAAATACCCTGGAACTATTTGCAGCAGTGCCGTCCAATCATATTTACAACCCTGAGCGAGAAAAATTATCTGCAAAATAAGAATCTGTAACAATGGACGAGGTGAAGTCACTCCCGAAATTCTGCCATCTAATGGGTGTATAGTTAATAGAAATGAGATATTTACATGTACACTGAATACTCCAAGATTTACTCAGACGGGATATTTGAGTGGTGACTGTTCCGAATGGAATATTACCAGTTACGGGACAACAGACAGGCTTATTTTGGACGCTGTATTTATCCCTCAATTCACATCTGTTGACCAGTCATAAACATATTCCGGACAATGCATGTTGTTGTCCTTAAAAATCCAGACCAGGATGGGATCGCAATGACGTCATTGTCGTCTGCTTCTGCACGAGCTGAACACGTGGCACACGTTCATTGGTCGACCGCACAGTGATCTGCTTGACGTTGGACTTGACAGTTGTCTTGTGGCCTGAATCGTCCAGGGTGAAGTTGGAAGAGGTTCGAGCCTTGGTTATACCTTTCCACAACGCCAGTGACAACAACGTCACACACGCTGGAACGGCTACAGCAGCGGCAATGAGAACCTTCACTACGGTGTCAGACTGGAAAACGTCAGTTACCGGGACGGTCGTAGCTTCAACAGGGACGGTCATCGATGCAGTATCTGAAGTGGCCGATGATGCATACAAAGTTGTGACGATGACGTGAGATGCAGACGTTGGTGACGCTTCAGTCCACATGTCCGTCGCCAGAAACGTTGAGGGCAGAATCTGAATCAACTCTTCTAAGGACCCAGTTTGTGTCTGTTGTATGGACTTTGCTTGGATCGCTGTATCCGGTGGCGGTGTTGCTTTAGAAGACGTTGGCATGGTCCCTGTTGAGTCTAATGGTAGATCTGTTTCAACTACCTTCAACACAAATGAAATGTCGTTGTTTGACGCTGCTGTGGAGAGAATCGGCAGAAAATAATCTGATAACGAATCAGTTGACGTTGACGTTTTCAGAAGTAAAGATGAATCTAACCGTGATGCTACAAGTAACGAACTACTGCCAGACTCTTCATCAACAACCCAAACGGGAAGATCACATGACGTCAAATTGGCATCTTCTCCAACTTTAGTATACACTCGCAGACCAGCAGGATGTACATAGGACCAAATCGCGTCTCCATCAACACCACTACCGTAGACGTACACGCCAAAACGTTCAGTGCAGTTGGTGTGGCTCACGGAGATGAAGGCACAGGTGTATGGGATTGTCGTGTAGGAGAAATCGGTACCTGGAACGTCAGTCCAGGCAACGTGTGAAGGCGGTGGTGGGTTGACAGCAACGCCTGCTGTAGAAGCTGTTGCTGATATGATTGTGATGTAGTTGGTTGACGTCCCTGGGGGCGGCGTGATGGTGTACGTTGTTGTCCAGTGAGAGGTACCCACGACAAGGTGAGAGGCTGGTTCTGTTCCTGAAAACGAGAGCTTGATTCACAACTACGACAATGAACAATTACAAAAATATCGCATTTGCTTTGTTTCTTATTTTCCACCATATATGGCTAATACGCTGAGACATGGCGAAGGTATAAAACATATCGAATTCGGGACAGACAAACCAATGATTGATATCATGAACACCGATCCACGGCATCAGTCCACTCTTCCATTAAATCCCTTGTTAAGACAACTACCAGCCTGGAATTCCAACGGTCTCTTAAACCACAGGCAAACTGTAGCGCAAACAGGGTTGCGCAACAAAGAGAAAATGACCAGTCTTCGTATATGCGAGCGAAGCATATACCAAGACTGGTCATTTTCTCTTTGTTGCACAACCCTGTTTGCGCTACGCATATACGAAGACTGGTCATTTTCTCTTTGTTGCGCAACCCTGTTTGCGCTACAGTTTGCCTGTGCTTAAACTTACCACAGTGATGGGTGACATACACCGGGTTGGAGGACTGGATGTAGACAGTCTCCCCTTTTGTGTTATTTACGGTAATAACCTCCTGCCCTGCCAACAGGTACGTGCTGTGAGGAGACCCGTTGATGATGACAGTAGCACCCAATAAACTGGCTGAAAATATGGAGGGAACTTATTGACCTTTAAATATACTGAGAGAAATAAATAAAGGACCACGGGAAAATTCAAGGGTTCCTTTAAAGTTTTCCAGTTTTCATCGCCACAGCGCTATTCAGAGCTGGTGAAGAAAACTGGAAAAAATTAAAGGAACGCTTGAATTTTCCCGTGATCCTTTATTTTTTTCTCTCAGTATATTAACAGTTCATCACTGATCCCCTGTAACTGAACATACCGTTGAGGATGTTTGAATCATTGTCATTCCGAGGCAAGCTGAATGTCTTCATGTACTTTACAGAAATGACTGACGTGATACAACCTTCCAAGATGTTGTCAGATCTTAAAATGGAGAGTTAAAGCGAAATAGAGTCGTATCCAAGTAAAAGATGTCACCGTAAAAAGATTTTAAATATCATGTGAAACTAGCTGACAAAAATCTAAATGAAAAGCCAGGGGCGCATTTACGAATCTCACCCCATGGTGTACCCACTTTCGGCCTCCGGGAGGTCAAAATATGACTTTCGCCGAATCGCGTTTTGACGCTCTAGCACTCCGTCACGAACCTTCCTCTTTAATTTGAACCGTTATTTTCACCAAATGATTTATACATATGGCATTCGTCACTATATGGCTGTAACATTGCCGATGTGACGTTAAATATCAACTCACTCACTCACTCACTATAAATAGTTTAACAACCAAGCCATCAGAGTGCTTCTAGTCCATTTAAATCAAATACAGGTAATACATCTGAAAACAATTATATTTTCACTAATATTACCCAGGGGCATTTACCTGACCCAATGGAAGGTGCTCAGTGGCGCCATCTTTAAGTGGTGGCCAGGGCACGTGGCACACTTGCCATACCTTAGTAGGCTACGCCACTGACTGAAGGTACTTTAAACCACTCACACACTCATACGAGCACGTACGCACGCGTCGACTAAGACCATAGAAACGGTTTCGTATCATTAGTGTTGAGTTTTCCCTCGGTTTTCCAAGATGACATCAAACAAATCAATACTGAATGTTTCCTGTTCTTACCCAGTATTTCATAGTAATCATGGACGCAGGATGAGTTACTTCCAAGCGGGACCCCAACAAAAGTTGTATCCCATCCGTCGAACGGTAGAAGCATTTCCGTCGCCCCGAACGTGGAATTCTGGGAGGAAGTGACGTCATTTTGGCCTCGCAGGAACACAACGACTGGCTGAGAAGCTATCACGATTATCCCCGCTATAGCGCCCGTGCTGTATAAACGGACAGTTTGGTAAGGTTCGGCTGAGGCAGATATTATTCTATCCGGCCCGTATGTTTGTCCATCGTAGTCGACCGTCCCACTGGAGGAAGGAAGTGCCACCGCGAATGTCGTCGTCTCGTTTGTCGAGGACGTGACCCCTGCAACATTTGGGTACATATAATGAGGCTTGTTAAAATGTATTTAAGGGTTCTAATAATCCCCTCGCCCATTATTTTTTTCTATTAAAAACCTAAAATGAAACATTTTGTAAATCGAATTTCGATTTTGACTTTTTGTCTCAAGTATCAGGGGCGATAATTATCCTTGTTCGTATAGTATATAACATCTCCATTTTTTTAACGATCGATATTCTGTATTCACTTTGCTACGATAAGTTCGAATGACACAACGCTCCAAATAGCCAATCAAATCACAGTCATGGACGGGTCAATGTTTGTCCTATGTCATTGATTAAAGAGAACCAGTGAGCGACCTTTTTTACGAAACCAGGCTTTAATGGTGAACTGAAATACCCTAGATTATAGAGGATGGGCCAAAGACAAGCATCGGATATGATTAAATAACACACGTAAGAATAAAAAGAATGATTACAAGAAAACAGCAAAACAAGGAATTAAAACACTTTTTTATATGTTTTATGTTATGTTTTACGTAAAAACGTAGATAACGGTACCTATAGTGACATTGTGCCTGTCCGTCATATAGTAGACTGTGCTCAGTGCTGTAACCGGGAAGAGAATGACACACTCTGGGCGCACAGCCGGACCATCAAACAGGGCGGTTAGAGTTATCTCCCCTGTACTTGTCACCTCAACCAAACTATCGTTCGTAAGAGTATCATTTCTTTCGGGCAAGACAACTGTTGATGGCGTTCTGTACACGACCGTTTCCTACAACAGGAGAATAATATTTGTCATGGTTTTAAAAAAAAATATCTATTTCTTTAAATATTGTAACAGAGACTTTTAATATCGTTTTATATGTTGGACAACAAGGAGGCTGACACACGATGGAGTGTGGCCATTGCTGGGATTTTCCTGACCTGTTTTAGTGTATAGTTCGTCCTGACATTCATTTCGCTTCACGTTTTGACGACTTGCTTGTTCGACTGGGCGCTTATAGACACGGGTTTACACATATGGGGATTCCGGAGCGGAATTGGCGGAGTGCGTGGGTAGGTGGGTGAGTGAGTGTGTGGTGGGGGGGGGAAAGTGAATGAAGTTCTACGACCATTTTTGCAATGTCACGGCCACGTTTCACTGATTGCACACGCGTGGAGAATCGAACTCGTGTCTTCGGTAAGACGAGAACACCCCTAGGCTACCCCCTGTGGCGAATAAAGAGAGAAGTGTGTTCTCACACCTGGCTACCCTGATCACACAAATTACACTTGTTTAAGTGAAAATCCCAGCCTTGGCCATTAAACCTGCTTTCCTTTTAGTGCCATACCACACTACCTCCAAAAACGGAAACAACAGGGCCTGTACATTCATATGTAAAACAATATCTGGTTCATGAATGTTTCTTTTAGTAAACTGGCATCGTTAATATCAGTATTGAAGTTAACAGTAAGTTACACCCGTAACGATCCGTTACAGAAGCGGTCTTCAGCAACCCATGCATGTCGTAAGAGGCGACTAACGGGATCATGAGGTCAGGCTCGATTGCTGGTATTTACAGTTGGAATATTGCTGATTGCGGCGTCAAACAACAAACAAACAGTAAATAAGTTGCAGTTCAACGATTCAAACGATAGTTTGTTGTGAGGGAGATAGTATTAGTTGTGAGGGAGGGAGATAGTATTTGTTGTGAGGGAGATAGTATTTGGTTGTTTTGGGCGCGGCTGACAATTCAGGATATAATCTGACCTGTATTACTTTTCCATAGACGCTGATGTTGACGTTGACCAATGTCGAGGAAGTCGTAGTGACTGTCAACGTTGTGGTCACGGCGTCGTCGAACACATCCATGTTGGGGAACAAGAATCGCATGCCCGAACTCCCCACATAACCGCCTAGAAAAACGTATTTCGATAAAAAAAAATACAGTTACGATTATCGTGTTTCTATATTGGAGAGATTAACATAATCTGCGAGTGTACAGAGTTGCCTCCCTGTGCTGCAAGGATCCACTCGCTGGTGGTTCAAATGCCAGATGTTTCTTATTTTATATATCCTTGATAAAGTCTACGTGTTGCTCTCTCCTGCCACCCACCCCACCATGTTAGTGAGTGAGTGAGTTGGGTGTTTAGCCGCTCTTAGCAACATTCCAGCAATATCACGTTGGGGGAGACCAGAAATGAGCTTCACACAATGTACCCAAGTGGGACAACGAACCCGGGTCTTCGGCGTGACGAGCGAACGCTTTAACCACTGGGCTACCCCACCGCTCACCCACCCTTTTAGACAAAAACAGTAGAGGCCACAATGCAGAAAAATTTCAAGTGAACTTCTGATATCGAGAAATTATTCAAATTTATCTTAATCCAAAAACATTCATGATAAATTTTATGTGATTAATTCATTTGAGAAAACCTGAAAGTTTTATCAAGTTTAAACTTACTCACCGTCTAACTGCAGGACACTGACCACAAACAAACTGGACAAAACCAACCGTCTCATGTCGCTAAACTAAAGAATTAGTTGATCGCTGTTAGGGCTATGTCCGTGTCACACCATTTTTATGTTGTAATTGTCCAGATTGTTCACATTCCACGACGTAAACACCCAAACATATTACACCAAACAAACAGTGATACTGCGATACTCCATACCCTACTCGACGTGCTAACAGCCATATTACAACTTGTCGGAAACAATACGGCATAATTCCTATAGTAAATATCCCCCTTAGATTCATTTACTCGCTTCACCCACAACACAAGGGGAACAGGGGTGTTTTGCTGAGCAAATACAGCTCCCTGTGCCCTAGGTATATATATATCCCGTGCTTGTGTATATTTTGTATAGATCTATTTAAATCCTTCTCACTAACAATACGACAAATATTTAGGGTCAGGAGAAGCGAATCCGCAAAAGCAATCACCACAATAAGGTTCCCACTCCTTCCTTCCTCACATCCTGCCACACATATACTCTTCAAAAAAAAGAAAATGTTGTATTCTTAAACATGTATAACTCGTCCACAAATAGATTTTAGAACATCAATTTTCACATCAGTTTAGACGGGGCGGTGGGGTAGCCTAGTGGTTAAAGCGTTGGCTCGTCACGCCGAAGACCCGGGTTCGAATCCCCACATGGGTACAATGTGTGAAGCCCATTTCTGGTGTCCCCCGCCGTGATGTTGCTGGAATATTGCTAAAAGCGGCGTAAAACCAAACTCAGTCAGTCAGTCACATCAGTTTAGAAGAAGGATATGTCTATGCAACCAAGTGGATAATATTTTAAGCTGTCTATTAAGCATTTTGACCCGTGAAGATCCGGGGTAGAATAGGTCTTCAGCAACCCATGTGCTTGCCATAAAAAGGCGACTATCTTGTCGTAAGAGGCGACTAACGGGATCGGGTGGTCAGTTTCGCTGACTTGGTTGACACATGTCATCGGTTCCCAATTGCGCAGATCGATGCTCATGCTGTTGATCACTGGATTGTCTGGTCCAGACTCGATTATTTACAGACCGCCGCCATATAGTTGGAATATTGCTGAGTGCGGCGTAAAACTAAACTCACTCACTCACTCACTCATTAAGCATTTTATTTGCTTACTTCTTAACTACAAGTCATACAAATGGAAGTCATGCTTCTCTACATAACTGCATTCGTCAAGCATGTTTACAGATTTAAAGCGTTCACAGCGCCCCTCACCCATCTCTACCCAGGGCCGGGTTATATTTGGTGTCCAGCAATCCAAGCTTGTCGTAAGAGGCGACTAACGAGATCGGGTGGTCAGGCTCGCTGACTTAGTTGACACATGTCATCGATTCCCAGTTGCGTGGATCGATGCTCATAACGTCAGTCACAGGATTGTCTTCTACCAGGTGTATACAGTGATTTGTTTGAGTGGCAGGTGTTTTAACGACATTCAGTGATATCGCAGCAGTATGGTTGAGGCCCACCGTGACAGTCGCGACTGCCTTTTATCAACAAACATTAGAGGATCAACACAAACATTAGAGGATCAACACAAACATTAGAGGATCAACTCAAACATTAAGGGTTCCTCGAATAAGCTGACACGTTCATTTTGGCGAAGACTCGGGTTCGATTTCCAACATGAGTAATATCATGTTAAAGGTATCGTAGAATCTCACTCACTCACTCACTCACTCACTCACTCGTCGGCCAAATCACCCACTCACTCACTCACTCACCCACACTATTGTGGAGCGCAATAGTGCAGTGATAAGGCGTCTTCCTATCACACTGAAGGCCCGGGTTCGATCCCCGGTGGAGGCACCTAGGTTCGGGTCCCGAGGTGGGCACATTTGCGTGGTATCCTTGGACAAGATACTTAGATCCACATTGTCTCAGTTCTCCCAGCTGTAAAATGGGTACCCGTGAGGATGTGCTGGCAATGTGAGTGTTTAGTTCATTGCCTAACAGGCAGCATGGCTGTATGTTCCCCTGGGAGTTGAAAAAGTATCAGAAAGTACGATAGTGTCCTATGACCGGGGATAGTTATGTATGCAGCGTCGTGAGCAGGCAATGTGCCTGTATTTGAGCGCCATATAAGCGGACAATTACTATTACTCACTCACTCACTTGTTGGCCAAGTCACTCACTCACTCACTCACTAACACGTCGGCACACTCACCCACTCACTATCTCGTCGGCCCATCCACCCACTCACTCACTAACTCGTCGGCCAAATTACTCACTCGTCACTCCACTCAATCGCTCGTCAACCCAAGAACCCACTCACGCCTCGACCCACCCACCCACTAATAACCCAGGTGATAAACGCATGCGTTGCACATGACCCGCCCGGAGTATACATGTGTATATTGTCATACAGATATTACCAATATTGTTATCAAAAACACACACACACACACACACACACACACACACACACACACACACACACACACACACACACACACACACTCACACACACACACACACACACACACACACACACACACACACACACACCAGTACAGGAGACCTTGCACAGGAGACATTCCGCCTGACAGCGGGAGAGCAAGACCAGGAGAGACTGACTGTGAGTCACTTTACAAGGCCACAGATTAGCATATGAATGGTATCATATATACATGTAGTCCCCCTAACCGGTTTAAAAGTAATGCCTTTTAAGGAATATACCTACAAGTAAAACAACTTTTACCTACCATTTATAATCGTTAGTACAGATAGCGAGAACACTGACGAGTGTCAGGGGCTCTGACTTGAACCTGTTTACACGTAACTTGAATAACTACGACGCTGTCAGTATGAAATTGCATGGGTGTGCAGCGACTTTTGAAGGAGGGCAAAGGTATAAAACCTATATATATACACACATACGTCTTTGTTAGATACATGTTGGTTTGTTGTTGGTTGTTGTTTTTGTTTTTTTGTTTTTTTCCTTGTTGTTGTTAAACCTAAAACTTTATGTATTAAATATGCGACACAAATATTATTTAGCGTTATTTTGAACTATAGGTAAAATTGATCTATTCATTGTCTTGAAGTCTCGTGTGGGCGATGAACTACTGTGACGTCAGGTCTATATGTATCGAGGATAAAATCAAACTGCGTTGTATTTTGCCGAGTGCTGTTTTGTTCCTCTGGGTTTTGTTGACCACCACAAAGAAGTTTCAAACGAAATTCTGATGTTATTTTGGATTAGATACGACAGCGTGAAGTGTTAATAGGACGAAGATGCACCTCGAATGAATGATTAATGGGTACCCCTGTATAGGAAAGAACTGTACGAAGAACAGCGAAAGGCGGCCGGGTTCAAGGCAGTAGAGGTTCTCGCTTGTTCTTACGTTAAAGTACGATTGCTCGGTTGGTTGGTTGGTTGGTTGTTTAACGCCGCACTCAGCAATATCCCAGCTGTCTGGCGGCTGTCTGTAAATAATGGAGCCTGGACCATACAATCCAGTGATCAACTGCATTATCTGTTGGGATAGTATCATACAGTGACATGTGTCTGACCACCCGATCCCGTTAGTCGCCTCTTACGACAAGCGTGGGTTGCTGAAGATCAATTCTAACCCGGACTTTCACGGATCGTTGAGTAATGAAAGAATTTGCTTAATTTAATATAATCTAAATTGAATCTATGTTTATTTTGAAGTATATATTCACAGACAGGGGTGTATCATCATTGTTCAGCGTAGGTCCTGTACAAATCCCCAGTCTGGGTTTGGATCTAGTCTAGATTAACGGGATTTCATTACATGTAAATTAAACAAAGACAGCAGCATCATCCGGACGGGAGAAGGTACTGCCTCCTGTTGAAACTAATTCCTTCTATTTGGCGTCAAAAGAATATTTTTTATATTTTTTTTGTTTGTTTGTTTTTCTTTAGATAAATTGACACTGGTGCACGACTAGATCTAAGATTATCCCCTGATCATCTTAACGGTCTTAGAATCTACACCGATACATCTTACCTTACCAAGATGAGTGATGTTTGTGCGCCACTTAACCTACACATCGGCATCGTCCTATTAACAGCATCCCTTGTTACAGCTCGAACAGAAGTAAGTCCATGTTTCATTTAGAAATAATTTCAATATTTTTTAGTTTTAATTGTGTAAAAACTGTGTTGTGTATTTACTATTATGAGGACGAGGTCGTTGTAAGAAACCACTTTTAGAAATACAGGAATATGGATATGGCTATTTTATTATTACACTTATTCCGATTCTTAATCTTGTGTAACTAACATTAATCCATCATAAGTGTGTTTTAACATGACGTCTAAGAATCCTGCATTCTGATCGGTTCGTTGACGGCATCGAACTGGGAGGGTAAATCTACTTTGTTTTGAAAATTCAGCTCGCCTAACTTTGGATTTGAAACTTCCTCAAGTATAACCATTACAAAATACTTATTTCTTCAAAGAAATAACAATATAAAAAAACTTGAAAATATTTATTCGCAACCAATTTGACATTTGCTTTGCTTGGACTCAAGCGATCCAGTCAACATTGTCGTTCCTTGAAAATCAACTTGGCATCTTCCACGTAGGGGTGGAAGGTTAAAGTGATCGGACAAGAAGACCGCTGATCTGAATCATTTCTCTTCATTTCCCAATTTTATCTTATTAGACGGAGATTTAGTTATATTCAAGTTCTGACTATGTACCTGTTCAAACAATTCCCAATGTAGTGACAGTATTTATCTAGTCAGAATTACCATCTTTCCACCCCGAATTTCGACATGACTGGCTGAACTTGCTTCACTTCCGGTAATTTTCCTGACTGTGGCAGCCAACATAATCAGTCAATCATTGTCTTTGATTAGCTGCCTGTGCAGTCATCCTGGTTCCTGGGCCTCTCATTAGTTTATATAAAGAGCTTCTATATAAACTAATGAGAGGCCCGGGAACCAGGATGCCTGTGCAGTGTACCAGTTCGTCTGATAATGATATCATATTCAAGGTAAAATATGATAGGCTATTTATACGCATCGATGTGTATTCCATTCCTAAGTTAATGTTTAATACGCAAGTTTGTGCGTGACAATGCTTGCCAAAGGTTACCGTATTTATCGTGTGGTGACCAATCAGTATTTAGCATTTGTTTGTGCTAACGGAACCCTAAGTGGGCCTCGGATTGCCTGGATAGGGGAGATAACTCTCATTGCAAGCGTGAAGGCACACGACAGCAGACGTAACATCTTTGTCTCATCAACACACAGTATTCAGTGAGATAAACACACTGTGCTAAAATACTGGAAGCCAATTTGGATATGTGGCCTACCATTAAAATACAGCACCACAAATTACATCACACTACCTTATGGCGTACTTTGTGAAACGTTGTTACCAAAAACAATGCTCAGGGACGTCAGACTGGTGCTGGGTTATCAAGTGTACCTAATAAGCTCCTCAGTGTTCTAAAGAAAGAATACAGCACAATCTCAGTGAAGTACAGATTCTAATACTTATGTTGGGTTGAGTCCTTTCAGGGATTCGACCCAGACACTCAAGAGTCAGGCACCTAAGCCAGAGACCGTTCATGATTTATAGCTAATTTATATACAAAACCGTAACCTACATTCGTGGATACCCTTGATCAGAGACCATATAATAGAGGGACGGCCCTCCCCAACAGTTTATCACTTACAATCAGCGCTACAGCCTGGCATGTAACTGATACACATCGACACCCTGCTGCTAACTTCCCTCTACCGGTACACATGCGCAACAGATGTGCAGACATTCGCAACAGATGCGCAGACATTCGCAAATGAGCACTCTGGTAACCACATAAACAATATTGCGTAATATCCGGGCCGAGAGTTAATTCCCTTAGCGGGATTATATGGTCTCTGCCTTGATTCATGGATAGTGGTAATTATCATGCTATCTCGTAAATTAAGTCTCGACAGACATCACGAAGCGGTACTTTTGATGTATATACAATGCCACGCCTCACTGACAAAAATGTTTCGAATCTCTGCATTACACAGAGCAGAAGCTAGTTAATTTATGATCATTTACACGCCCTGTAAACCGGCGTCAGTCTGTGCCGTATTTCGGCACAACAAAGACCGCCCCAATTGACTACAGTAATTAACGCTCTCTAAACCGGCATCCGGTATCTCGGCGCTCCTTTTCATTGGCTGAACGTGTATTAGCAACACAGTGGATTACCATCAGCATTAAGCTCATTGATGTTGCCTGATAAACGGAGTATGGATAAGGGTTAGGCCTAAGTAGGTGGGGGTAAATTGGTGAGCGACACGTGTATTAAAAATTAATTGTCGTGTGAATGAAAACAGTAAATTTGACAAAATTAACACACTGACACATGATTGTTTTTCGACTGCCTGCTGTAAAAACATGCCCATTTCTGGCCCTATTTTGAAAGAGAAAGCTATTGAGTTTGCTTCAGAATTAAATGTCAACGAGTTTAAGGCATTAGATGGTTGGCTGGCACTTTGGAAGACACAATACGACATCAAACAGTTCAAAGTAAGCGGCAAAAGTGCCAGTGTAGAACAGAGTGATGCTGACAAGTTTAAGTCCAGCCTCCCGACTTTGACTAGTGGATATGCGCCTAGTGAAAATGTCTTTAACTGTGATGAGACTGGCTTTTTTTCCGTGCTTTACCGGATGTTTGGTTTTTTATATATTGATGAAGAATATGATGACTATCAACACGTTGTTCAGTCGTATGTTACGGCACACGGAAGATCATTCTCAGGTTAAAAAGGGAAAAGTTCTCTAAACTGGCACACCCTCTATACCACTTTTGGCCGGTCCCAACGAATGCCGGTTTAGAGGGCTTCCACTGTATCTCCTAATTTCACATATTGTCATGGTGTTGTTTTATTTAATATAAACTGTTTCTTCACCTTGATACAGATTGACCGCCACGTGGTCCGTGATGGAATGAGCAAGTATACATTTGTCAACGGAACTCAGAGGAATTGCTTACCTATCTTAGAACCTGACTTCTGTGCTGAGGGTTCGTACAATTCAATAATCTCAAAGAAACATGTTTTCTGTGTGTCCTCAAACACTAAAGTTACTGTGTTCTGATGTGTCAGATGAAGATTACTCTTTTTGTTTTTAAATTTGAAAGGTTTTCATTGATCAAAATAGTATTTAATTTGCATTCCATGGCATGGTAATAATTGAAAAGCTTGGATGAAATATTTTCAATGTGCCCTGGCGTCACAACTAACCTGTTTTAAAATATCAGTGACACTCTCAGTCTTGCAGCTTATAGTGGGCTCGGCCATTGTCATTGCCAGTGCACATGACAGGAATAACATTTTGGATGATAACTTTATATGTAAGTTTATGCGCGCCCTGGACAAATGAAGCTGAACTGTTCTTGCAGTTGTGATAGTGTTCAGGAAATCCTGCTCTCAAGTTTACAGGTTCACATGAACAACAATAAATTGAAATGACATAATTGTAGTGATGCTTTCTTTAAGTTTCATTTGATCATTGAAAGGTCTAGGCATGCTTATTTTCACAAAGGCTCAGCAATTTGTGGCAAACTTGAGGCCAAACGTTGTTCTCTGGGCAAATCTTCATATACCCCTAGGGATAACTGGTGCTCCAAATACTTAGTATTTAAGGTGTGGTGGGGTAGCCTAGTGGTTAAAGTGTTCGTTCACCATGCCGAAGACCTGGGTTCGATTCCCAACATGGGTACAATGTTTGAAGCCCATTTCTGGTGTTCCCCGCCATGTGTAAAACTAAACTCACTCACTCACTCTAAATGTTTAACTGAAAAAGTATTTGCTACTGTCTCTGTAGTGACTGTGTGTTTGAAGTGATGTGCATTAGGACTATGGTAACACCAGCCTGTTTTCCTTGCAAATTTAATTCAACCCATTTCATGCAATTGTCTTCTTTTGTAACAGTTAATGACTTAACACATTGCACAAAGTAATAGGGGCATTGGGGTAGCCTAGTGGATTCCACCGAAGGCATTGGGTACAATGTATGAAGCCCATTTCTGGTGTCCCCTGCCATGATGTTGCTTGAATATTGCTAAAGGCAACATAAACTTAAACTCACTCACTACACTAGAAATTGTCTCCGTCAAATGAAGTAAATCCAAACTGCCTGACCAGATGCAATTTTGCTTTGTTATTTCGTTCATAGATATCTTACATACTTTACCAACATAGGTCACCAAATAGAGCCGTGTTTCCATGACAAGGAGAAAGATCGGTGTGTCCCTTGCAGAGATGGGGAAGAACAGTTGGACAAAACATACTCCAACTTCAAACCTGCGTGCTATATCCACTCCTGCCCAGAGGGTAAGAACTTACATGGACAATCATCAGGAAGTTTTTTGTGGTCTGTTTCACTGAGAATAATTATAAGAAACTTCAGCCTCATCAAAAACAGATTCTCTGAGTGAATAGAGGTGCTGCATCCATAAAAGATCTTAATTGACATGTTTCATAAAATTGCAGAAATAGCCTCTTAGCCTCGAAGAAAATAGGTACAGAAAATTGTATGGAATCTTTCTTTGCATTACCAGTGTTGAGTATGACTAAACCCTACACTGTTTCCGAAACATAGAAATATATTAGTCTACCATTGTTTTATTTAAAATAAATGTGAAAATTTAAATACTTTTGTCAGGATTTCAGTAAACATGAGGTATTACACTTATCAGTATGTGAAGGTTCAACGCAAATTGATACATCAGAGGTGAAGCTATGCAAAAAACGATTCTGTTTTCCACTTTTGTATCATGTGTAAATCACCTTTCTGGTGCTGCATTGCTGTGATATTCACTCACGACTCACTCACGTTTCACGTTTCAGGCACCATCCCTGGCAAGCGGGACCCATCTTCTGGGTGCAGCTTGCCATGTAGATGTAAGAGTGAGATGATGGCGATGAATGAGGACTGTAGCTGCCATCGTGTCGAGGTCAAGTGTGGAAGCAACACCTACCTCAAAAATGGTAAGTCTGGTGCAGGTGCTGTAGGTGACAGAGAGCCCCAGTGTTCCAATGTTCAGTGAGTTGCCTCCCTTAGTCATGCTTGGACTTTCTAATTGTCACTTTTAAAACTGGATTCACTTCGCCAATGATCATCGGTTACAAATGCTGGTTATTTTTCACCAGCAGCAAACTTGATTTCAGCATTCAGAGCGGCATATCTCAAGGCCATTGTTTGTTAACTATTAAAAAGAACATTGTAGAAGCATACAGATATACAGTTCACTCTATCCCATGTATAGCATTTTAAAGTACAGTTTTGCCTTGAAATATTATAGTTAAGGCACAAGGACGTATGTTTGATGACGAGGGGACAGACTAGAATGGTGTTGTAATGCCAATACAGTGTGACATAATGCAAAAAGTGTATTTTATTACTTTAAAGTACTTTCAGCACCTTTAAACAGGACCCCCTCCGTGGTGTAGTGGTTAGAGCGTCCTTCCAGAGAACGGAAGGTCGCGGGTTCGATCCCCGACCGCGTCATACCAAAAGACGTTAAAATATGGTACTTGTTGGTCCCTGCCTGGCGTTCGGCATTGATGGGTACAACAAGGACTGGTCGGCTTGGAGTCAGTGTAATGTGTCTGAGTGGGGTATTCATGCTTCACTGCGGCATGGTATCTCAGTGGGCTAGCACTATAAAACCAGCTTCAGTCTGGGCTAGTACAAGCAGCCGCACATACACATACACATGCATGCACGTCGTCATATGAGCGAAATATTCTCAAGCACGACGTTAAACCTAATTTCATCTCACCTCCCCTCCCCTCACCTCACCTTTAAACAGGCGAAGCATCTTTGAAAAGTAAATACAATCGTCTAAATGTTGTAAGAATTTCCTTAGATCGTTGAACTCTTCAATCTGGACCTGATCTGTGGCATACACAAAAGATTATATTCCAAACCTTTAACAGTCAAACATAAAACTATATATATTTGTGATTTTTTAATTCCAAATTACAATTTTCAGTGAATTAAATGTGAAACATGCAAACATTGTTTTGAAACTTTATCTCCAGGAGTCTGCAAGCCATGTTCGGCAGGAACCCACAAGCCCGGCAACGGCGCCGGCCCCTGTGTCACCAAGACGTCGCCAATATCACAGTGAGATGTTGTTAATAATACTGCTGAAGTCTGCCACGTAGTTTACCAAATGTTGTTGTCCATAACAACAGTCAGTAGTAAATGGGTACCCGGTGGGATAAGATGGTCATATGGCTGTGAACCTTCTAGCGCCTTGCTCATACTATTTTGTCCTTATCCCCACTGAGCATCGTTGAGATGGATATCAGGCGTCCTACAAATGTATTACAAACAAGTAAGTGTGTTTTTGAAAGGGGATGTTTTATTTCATATTATTAACTACCCCCTAGCCCATGTTTCTTTGGACCCGTGAAGATCCAGGAGAGAATTGATCTTCAGCAACCCATGCTTGTCATAAGAGGTGACTAACAGGATCGGGTGGTCAGATGCGCTGACTTGGTTGACACATGTCATCATATCCCTGTTGCATAGATTGATGCTCATGCTGTTGATCACTGGATTGTCTGGCCCTGATTCCATAATTAACAGACCGCTGCCATATAGCTGGAATATTGCTGAGTCGAGAGTAAAAGCTAAACTAAAACTAAATCTTAAACTCACCCAGTCACCCATGTTTGTAGCCTCCTGGGATTACACTGTGATTTGAAAAGTGCTTGAATTTCACCATGTCCAATGAAAAGTGGTTCATTTTAATATTTTACGATCAAAGTGCAATAGTTTTATTGCCAGTCCTTGAAAAGAACTGGAATGTAAACTTGATCTGTCTAGTTATAACAAAATGGTTCCTGAAAATTGTAAATGTTAATTGTAAATTCTTGTTGCATTGCAGTACCTCAGAGCCAGTCACAGCAACAGCATCACCTGCATTGTCTGCATCTGAAATAAACACAACGTCAGGTGTACATTAAGGAATCTCATTAAGAACATCACATGGTACAGAGCTATGTCTTGGGATCTATCTAATGAATCTTACGCCCCATAAAAGAGCTACGCCACGCTTGTAAAATATATATTGGCTACAAAAAATAACGGCCACGCCTGACTATAGCATCGAAAGTGGTTATCGGCCTCTGAATGTATTTGGGCCAAGGTTAAGTTACTCTAAAAGAAGAATCGCTTAAACTAAACAGGATTTAAAACCAGCAAAAATGCTTCAGTCACCTTCCGATAAACATTTCTGTTGACCCGAAAATGTTTTTTACACCTATATCCAATCAAATACCACCCTAGAAGGCCACTGTTCATTGTATGTAAGGCATACCCATCTGTAAAATGAAACCGATCTCTTCCCCACACTCTAAAACATAATCACTGCCACTATTGTTCCCGTCCGCATACCTCGGGCCGGCCAAAAAGCAGCTTAAACCTCACACATGTATCTTGAATTGCATTTTAATTCACAGATTAGTATTACATCTACCTATATATCACTTTCGAGCCCCTTTCTCTCCATTTTCACCCGTGAAGGTCCCGGATTAGAAAGTGCTCTTCAGTAACCCATGCTTGTCGTGAAGAGGCTAATTAACGGGAGCAGGTGGTCAGACTCGCTGACTTGGTTGACATATGTCATCGGTTCTAAAAAATGTGCAGATCGATGTTCATGCCTGTTGATCACTGGATTGTCTGGTTCAGACTTCGATTATTTACAGCCTGCCGCCATATAGCTGGAATATTGCTTGAGTGCAGCGTAAAACTAAACTCACCTACACCACTCCACTCTCCATTTTCAACATAGCCCTCAATCAAAGTGTTAAGTCTCTGTTGGACCCATTTTTGGCCGGCTGTCAAAAGCAACTTAAACTCCTCGCCACATGTATCTTGGGAAGTCTCACAGATGAATCCTAGATTCTGTTTACATCTAATGAATATAGTAATATCTATCTAAATACCCACTTTATAGACCCAGTTTCTCTTTGTAACATCACAATGTGGCATTTAGGTAGATATAATACTGATCTATGGATTTAAACACATTTCAAGATACATGTGTGAGGTTTAAGTTGCTTTTGACAGCTCCGCAAGTTGGGCCTCTAACAGACTGAACACACTTTGATTGAGGCTATTTTGAGGGGTGGGCAGACAAGGGCTTCACTTTAACGGAGCAGTTACCTTTACATGTGGCATTTTGTAACGTTTCAATGTGATATGTAGGTAGATATAATATTAATCTATGGATTTGAGCACAATTAAAGATACACCTTTGAGGTGTTAGGTGCTTTTGATGACCTTCGAGTGCCTCGGACCTAACGCCAGTTTACACAGTGTGTTTGTTGAGAATATATAGAAAAAGAAGGCTTCACTTCGAGCAACGTGGTTTGCTTAAAAATACTCACTTGCTAATTTGACTCTATAAAGAATTATTCAGGTAGATATAATACCATTTTTGCCTTTCATGTGTACTAGCAAATTTAAGCATATGCATACACGCTGGCTATCAGATTTTGGCTGGTATTGTTTTACGGTTTAGGAATACAATGAAAACACATAAGAATGTTTGTTTGTGTAAATGTATACTTTCTTTGATCCTTTATAACATATTACAAAAGGTTGTGATTTAGTATATTTCTTTTAACATATATAATCATGTCATAATTTCCCATATATAATATGGGGGAGCAAATTTATTTCGAAGCCATTGAAAATGTCCATGCATCCTATTTTAAAGATTTCTTACAGAAGGTACATTTGCTACCAATAAAGCCATACTTGACGAAACAGGACATTATAACATGCATATTGAGAGTCAAATGAGAGTTATTAGTTACTGGATTAAACTTATAAGAATGCCTGATTATCGCTACCCCCCATCAAAGCTATCAAATATTGTTATCACTGGATAAATGTGGAAAGTATTCATGGGCTTCAGATGTGAGAAATATGTTATTTTCAAGCGGTTGTATTATGTTTGGTTTAAGCAAGATGTTGGTGATATAAAATTGTATTGTCAACATTTAAACAACGTAATAAAATATATATATTCAGAATTGGTACACATCAGTCAATTCATCCAGTTTTCTTGGTCATTATTCACAATGTAAGTTCGACCTGCAAAATATGTCAGTGGTCTTAATGATAAGTCCCTTTTAAGAATTTTTGTAAATTTAAAATCTCTCTACATGCCTTAATAACGTTTTAGAAAAGATAATAATATATTGGAAGATTTATCATGTTCTTATTGTTCTTCTGGTAAAACTGAAGATCTAACGATACTTATTATTAGTCTGTAAGACTTTCTCTGCCTGCCGTTAAAGAAGTATTTGAAATGCACTAATGATGCCCCCACAAACGATATTCAATGTACTTAATTTTAATAATGCTGATATTATTAAATCTGTTGCCATTTTCATGAAACATTTGATATCCATCCGTAAAACACTTGTAAAATCATAATTTAATGTCACGTGACCAATAGTTGTAATTGAGTAACTTCAGTTGTAATTTGGGCCACTGGGCCTTAACTACTGAACAAAACCTGTGTGAGTGGTCTGTCTGTCTGTCTGTCATTGTCCAGGTACTCCATCAGTGTCGGGTGGTTATTTTCAAGCCTGAACTTCAAGGTATCTAGTCGTTCCTCTAAATCTCTGTACTTCTATTTGGGGACAGTCTTTGGCCGGCATTGTACTGAAGCATCTTTGCCCCTCGCTCAGTCCTTGTTCATCTTCCAGGAACTTGGCCATCTCGAATAGGTTGGGATGTTGTTTTACAACAATCTCTCATGAGACGGCCATGCCAATTGCAACCCTCGAGGTTGTTGTTTGTGCGGGGGCCGTCAGTATTTTTTGGTACAGTCAAAAGATTCACTTTGACTTCGCTGTGTACAGGTCCATGGTTGTGGTCTCCAGGTATTTGGGAAATTATGTCGTTCACTGTTAAGACTGATATGCAGTCGTTCTGAATGCATCTCCACGAGATCAATTTTCCCTTTTCTTCTTGTTCACAATAAACATATAACCATTTACATAAATGTATGTTCCACCACGAGAAGTATAAAGAAACCTCTTGTGCATTTTCCATAACTGAATTTGTGGAAATGTCGATAATGATGAAAACTGTCAATTCCAACATTCTTATAGCTTGCACGCTTATGTAAGAAATTGAATAACTCACTACTAATGAACTGAGTGAGCTAAACTCACTCATTAAACCCGGCTGGTTCACATGTCAACCCGCTGGTACAAAAGTCATATTTCGTTTCCGAGTGGAGACATTTTACATTTTGTAGAAAACCAGTGTATTGATCCCTTTAAAACAACACCGCTTTCACAACATCAAACATCAACTAAATTTGACAGAATTTTTACTTTAAGGTGTTCTGGCTAATCCCTTGATTAGTTTTACTTAAATAAGTAGTAATGTTGAACGCGGAAATCAGTGATTAGAGATCAATAGCAGTACAACTGCACAACAAAAGGTTATGCCCCCTATTTTCCAATATAACAATTTTAAACGACGTAAGCCCACAATATCGTAATTTAAGGCGTCGATTTTGTAGTTTTGTCATAGATCATTCTTGTGTATTTCTGCAACGACGTGGTCGTAGTAGTCTATTTTATACGCGACACGCCGTGGGCCGACGCCGCCCACAACGTAGTTCTTTTTACGGCGCCATGCGATGGCAATTATAGGACACCATATTAACCTCTGTGACTTTCTGGTTTAGAATATGTCCCCAGCAACCTGTGATTCCAGGTAAGAATAGATCATTGGCCACCTGTGCTTGTTTCCCTGTGGGGATTCTGGGTGAGAACAGGACCTCAGTCACCTGTGCTTGTTTCTCTGTGGGGATTCTGGGTGAGAACAGGACCTCAGCCAACTGTGCTTATCTCTCTGTGGGGATTCTGGGTGAGAACAGGACCTCAGTCACCTGTGCTTGTCTCTCTGTGGGGATTCTGGGTGAGAACAGGACCTCAGTCACCTGTGCTTGTCTCTCTGTGGGGATTCTGGGTGAGAACAGGACCCTCAACCAACTGTGCTTGTCTCTCTGTGGGGATTCTGGGTGAGAACAGGACCTCAGTCACCTGTGCTTGTCTCTCTGTGGGGATTCTGGGTGAGAACAGGACCTTAGTCAACTGTGCTTATCTCTCTGTCGGGATTCTGGTGAGAACAGGACCTCAGCCAACTGTGCTTATCTCTCTGTGGGGATTCTGGGTGAGAACAGGACCTCAGTCACCTGTGCTTCTCTCTCTGTGGGGATTCTGGGTGAGAACAGGACCTCAGCCACCTGTGCTTATCTCTGTGGGGATTCTGGGTGAGAACAGGACCTCAGCCAACTGTGCTTATCTCCTGTGGGGATTCTGGGTGAGAACAGGGCCTCAGTCACCTGTGCTTGTCTCCTGTGGGGATTCTGGGTGAGAACAGGACCTCAGTCACCTGTGCTTATCTCTCTGTGGGGATTCTGGGTGAGAAAAGGACCTCAGTCACCTGTGCTTGTCTCCCTGTGGGGATTCTGGGTGAGAAAAGGACCTCAGTCACCTGTGCTTGTCTCTCTGTGGGGATTCTGGGTGAGAAAAGGACCTCAGTCACCTGTGCTTGTCTCTCTGTGGGGATTCTGGGTGAGAACAGGACCTCAGTCACCTGTGCTTGTCTCTCTGTGGGGTTTCTGGGTGAGAACAGGACTTCAGTCACCTGTGCTTGTCTCTCTGTGGGGATTCTGGGTGAGAAAAGGACCTCAGTCACCTGTGCTTGTCTCTCTGTGGGGATTCTGGGTGAGAACAGGACCTCAGTCACCTGTGCTTATCTCTCTGTGGGGATTCTGGGTGAGAAAAGGACCTCAGTCACCTGTGCTTGTCTCCCCTGTGGGGATTCTGGGTGAGAAAAGGACCTCAGTCACCTGTGCTTGTCTCCCTGTAGGGATTCTGGGTGAGAAAAGGACCTCAGTCACCTGTGCTTGTTTCTCTGTGGGGATTCTGGGTGAGAACAGGACCCTCAGTCACCTGTGCTTGTCTCTCTGTGGGGATTCTGGGTGAGAACAGGACCTCAGTCACCTGTGCTTGTCTCTCTGTGGGGATTCTGGGTGAGAAAAGGACCTCAGTCACCTGTGCTTGTCTCTCTGTGGGGATTCTGGGTGAGAAAAGGACCTCAGTCATCTGTGCTTGTCTCTCTGTGGGGATTCTGGGTGAGAACAGGACCTCAGTCACCTGTGCTTGTCTCCCTGTGGTGATTCCTGGTTAAGAACAGGACCTCATGTTAGAATAGGGCCTCAGCAACTAATGCATCTCCATGGGGAGTCTGAGGAAGAACCTCTGCTTGTTCAACAATATGACTTTATATATCAGCTAGTCATTGATTGGTTGATGTAATCACGTCTCCAATGGCAACGATGGTTGCTCATAACATAAATCAATGAATTATCTGTTCGTGACTTAAGATTCAATAGAAAAAGACTTCAGTTACTCAAGAAACAAACCCTGTTTCTTATATTCTAAGTTTGATCTACTATGCAGGCGTAAGAACTTCTGTACAGGTACCAGGAATGATTCCAAATGGATTTACAGTTTCACTTTATTATTACAGGAAAAAAGATGACTAATGGTGACCTTGAGGCAGAAGAGAATCCTCCCAACCACAGGTTGGTGTCCATTGTCTAGATTTTGAAGTTATTCCTTGAGAAAAATGTCATTATGATGCCCAGATCGATGGTCATATTATCAACCACTGGATGCCTGTTCCAGACTTGATTATTTACAGACTTTAATGATATCGCTGGAAAATGGCTGTGTGTGGCATTAAACAACAAACAACATGAAAAAATGACGGCTGCAATATGACGGTTGTAATATGATGTAATATGACGGTTGTAATACGACACCGACTGTAATATGATGACGGTTGCAATTTGATGGTTGTATTATTGCGATGGTTGTAATAATATGAAATGGTTGCAATATACGACGGTTGTAATAATGATGGTTGTAATATGAGATGGTTGCAATACAGCGACGTTGTTATATCGATGGTTGGAATATGACTGTTGTAGTATGTTGGAATATGACTGTTGTAGATGATAACAACGGGTTGTAATAGAAAGAAACGGTTCTTCAAATTGTTTTGAGTAGTATTTATCTGTAATAATGATAAACAAATCTTTTGCCCAATTCACTCACCACAGCCACGAAGGTAAATGTTGCCAAAGGAAACAACCAAAGATCCCACCTGATTGATCATGAATCTTAATTCATGAAGTTTGATCACTCCTGAGGCTCCTGCCGTAAAGCCACAGATTCAGTCGTTGATCCAGATGAAATCTTTACATTGTTTGCCTGTCAACAAAAATAAAAATATATATTTTAACAGTTAAATATAACCCTTTAGATTTGGGTTTTCACTTTCGTTGGAAGGTACAAATTCTAGTAAATTTCGGGGTTGACTGTTCTGTGATTCAAACCCAGAATCTCAGACTTAAAGGCACCAAATTTCCGCACTTAAAGTCAGTCAAATCACTCGGTCACTGAGTCTTACAAAAATACTTGTGAAGATCTTGGTTAGAATTGGACTTCAGTAACCCATGCTTGTCGTATAAGGCTAACTAACGGGATCGGGTGGTCAGGCTCACAGGTCATGTCATCATATCCCAGTTGTGTAGATTGATACTCATGCTGTTGATCACTGGATTGTCTGGTCCAGACTCGATTATTTACAGACCGCTGCCAGATACCTGAATATTGCTGAGTGCAGCGTTAAATAACCAACCCTACACAAAAATGGAAGCACTAAATTTTGTCCTTTACAAAGTGTATTCCTACATATAATACTAGTTGTGTAACATTATCACAATAAACAATGTTTAAAATATCATTTATTATGTGAACTGCTGACAGGGAAGTATCATTTTTACATCATAAACATGTAAATATCAGAGGACTGTTGTTTTCTTTCCAGATCATCAAACGATCAGAACATGTCTATACTGTATATCACCATAGCAACATTACTTGCCATTATAGTTCTCGTGGGATTATCAGTCGCCATTATACACAAGCTATGGACAAGAAAATTGCCAAGGCACAATACAGGTAAGAAAACTTTGCCCTAGCATTTCATAGGATTTTGAGTATAAGGGACCGTTCGTAATTTATGACTTCTCTCTCTGTGATGATGATGATGGGGTGGGGTGGGGGCGTGGGTGTGTGTGTTACCCATTTTGTTCTTGGGAGGTAGGGGTGTCATCAGTTTTTTTGTACATTTAAATATTAAAGAATTATGCTTAGACATTATTGGAATGGGGTGGGGGTCATTGATTTTTTACATGGCTTACATGCTTCTCCATAAAATCATCATCACCCACCCCCACCCTTAGCCATAAATTTGGATGGGTCCATAATTTCATAATTGATCACATTGATCAGGTTGTCAACTAGTGCCTTTTGATATTTAGGGTTTTACATTTGTTATATTTCTGTTAGCTGAGCTTAGAGTAGCATATCATATCGTAAGCAGTGATTGCCATGACGCAGAAAAACTGTGTATTTGACGCACAAATTATCTCAAAAACACAGTGAATTTAGAAGGTTGAGTCATTGTTGATGCAGTGCTACTGGGCCCTTAGTTCAGATAACCTAAACTTTAAAACTAAATGTTTGCCAGTTAACTGCTCAGTGCTGATTAAATACCTGACCTGCCTTACCTTGCTTTTGTTGTTATTAAACAATCACAGTTGATGTCTTGATGAAAGGTCCAACTGACATTGACTCCCCAAAACAAGTCCATGACTCCCTCTCATGACACCAGGAGTCATGATGACTCCACTGATAAGCCATCTCCCATTTCTGACATCCACTGATTACTTTACACAATAAAACCTGACATACCAGTTTTCATCATTCTGACAAAAAACGACAATGTGTTATTATCTCAACTGATATTTCTATTTGATAACATCCTTATCTGTGTTTTCATGCAGCTCAGCAAAACGACAGCAATGAATCTCTAATGCAGCGACAAGGTAAATACTAACTGCGAAACATTGTAACTCGAGGCATAGTTAAACCATTTTATCTTGATCATGACTCAAGGAGATTGTGGGTTAGAATATCCAGAAAATATAAGTCCAAAGCATCCAGTGCCTTTCTCTTCATGGGCAATTTGGATTAGAATATAAGGCCCATACAAGCCTTGTCTTTCTGTGGGCAATTTGGATAAGAATATAAGGCCCATACAAGCCTTGTCTCTCTGTGGGCAATTTGGATAAGAATATAAGGTCCATACAATCATTGTCTCTGTGGGCAATTTGGATAAGAATATAAGGCTCATACAACCCTTGTCTCTCTATGGGCAATTTGGATAAGAATATAAGGCCCATACAATCATTGTCTCTGTGGGCAATTTGATAAGAATATAAGGCCCATACACCCCTTTGTCTCTCTCTGGGCAATTTGGATAAGAATATAAGGCCCATACAACCCCTTGTCTCTCCATGGCCTATTTGGATAAGAATATAAGGCGATACAACCCTTGTCTCTCTGTGGTAAATTTGGATAAGAATATAAGGCCCATACAACCCTTTGTGTCTCTCTGTGGGGAATTTGGATAAGAATATAAGGCCCATACAACCCTTGTCTCTCTGTGGTAAATTTGATAAGAATATAAGGCCCATACAACCCTTGTCTCTCTGTGGGCAATTTGGATAAGAATATAAGGCCCATACAACCCTTGTCTCTCTGTGGGCAATTTGATAAGAATATAAGGCCCATACAACCCTTGTCTCTCTGTGGTAAATTTGGATAAGAATATATGGCCCATACAACCCTTGTCTCTCTGTGGGCAATTTGGATAAGAATATAAGGCCCATACAACCCTTGTCTCTGTGGGCAATTTGGATACGAATATAAGGCCCATACAACCCTTTCTCTCTCTGTGGTAATTTGGATAAGAATATAAGGCCCATACAACCCTTGTCTCTCCATGGGCAATTTGGATAAGAATATAAGGCCCATACAACCCTTGTCTCTCTGTGGGCAATTTGGATAAGAATATAAGGCGCATACAACCCTTGTCTCTCTGTGGTAAATTTGGATAAGAATATATGGCCCATACAACCCCTTGTCTCTCTGTGGGCAATTTGGATAAGAATATAAGGCCCATGCAACCCTTGTCTCTCTGTGGGCAATTTGGATAAGAATATAAGGCCCATACAACCCTTGTCACTCTGTGGTAAATTTGGATAAGAATATAAGGCCCATACAACCCTTTTCTCTCCATGGGCAATTTGGATAAGAATATAAGGCCCATACAACCCTTGTCTCACCATGAGCAATTTGGATAAGAATATAAGGCCCATACAACCCTTTGTCTCTCTGTGGGCAATTTGGATAAGAATATAAGGCCCATACAACCCTTGTCTCTCCTTGGGCAATTTGGATAAGAATATAAGGCCCATACATCCCTTTGTCTCTCCTTGGGCAATTTGGATAAGAATATAAGGCCCATAAAACCCTTGTCTCTCCATGGGCAATTTGGATAAGAATATAAGGCCCATACAACCCTTGTCTCTCCATGGGCAATTTGGATAAGAATATAAGGCCCATACAACCCTTGTCTCTCTGTGGGCAATTTGGATAAGAATATAAGGCCATACAACCCTTGTCTCTCTGTGGTAAATTTGGATAAGAATATATGGCCCATACAACCCCTTGTCTCTCTGTGGGCAATTTGGATAAGAATATAAGGCCCATACAACCCCTTGTCTCTCTGTGGGCAATTTGGATACAGAATATAAGGCCCATACAACCCTTGTCTCTCTGTGGTAAATTTGGATAAGAATATAAGGCCCATACAACCCTTGTCTCTCCATGGGCAATTTGGATAAGAATATAAGGCCCATACAACCCTTGTCTCTCTGTGGGCAATTTGGATAAGAATATAAAGGCGATACAACCCTTGTCTCTCTGTGGTAAATTTGGATAAGAATATATGGCCCATACAACCCTTTGTCTCTCTGTGGGCAATTTGGATAAGAATATAAGGCCCATGCAACCCTTGTCTCTCTGTGGGCAATTTGGATAGAGAATATAAGGCCCATACAACCCTTGTCACTCTGTGGTAAATTTGGATAAGAATATAAGGCCCATACAACCCTTTTCTCTCCATGGGCAATTTGGATAAGAATATAAGGCCCATACAACCCTTTGTCTCACCATGAGCAATTTGGATAAGAATATAAGGCCCATACAACCCTTGTCTCTCTGTGGGCAATTTGGATAAGAATATAAGGCCCATACAACCCCTTGTCTCTCCTTGGAAACTGTATATATTTTGAATTTTTTTTTGTGGGTTTGTATGAAATATGTTATGGTTGACAGAAACGCCTATACTTTTGTTTGTCGTTAAATATTTTAGCGGGTTGCATTTAGGGGTGTCAAGGGGAGATAACTTTGGGTAGCTATGTGATTCGTGATCAGTATGTCGCCTGCTTGCCATGTGAGCGTGTCAGAGAGCAGATGGTCTACAAACGGTATGAGTAACTTTTACATTTTCTGCTTGTCAACACTTTGTGTTATAGGTAATGAAGCTATCAGCAGCATTTCTGCAATATGAATTATTGATATTTCTGTGTATCTCACGTTTTCAATACTGTTTGCTGCATTCAAAACTCGCTCGCTTTGCACGAGTTCTAAAAATAGATTTTCTCAGGTTTTCGTTTGTTTGGGCTTTCAAAGTCATTAATTTAACAAGTAATAAGGGTTTTTTACTGAAATAGTAGTCATGTAAGTTTACTAACATTATTCGTCACTGCAGGTAGTTAGAAATGTAAAACTTTGTCAAAAGTGTATCTTTATTGATGAAGTTGAGAATGTAAATGTGGCGATACTGACAACATTATATGGAACTATAGATTCCCTTATTTCTTCATTGCAGTCAATCTATAGCAAGGACACTTGCGTCGAATTGGCCCGAATCTGCTTAGAAATCCAGAATATTGTCGTTTCAATATGAATATGAATCATGATGAACTTGAGAGACACTTGCGTTGAATTGGCCCGTATCTGCTTACAAATCCTATTGACATTTCAATATGAATATGAATCATGATGCACTTGAGAGAAAAGAATAAAAGCAACTCCTGAACTACAACTATTGCGTTGAAACTGATTCAAAGAACTACAAATATTGACGTTTTACCCAAACATGAGTAACGAGGAAAGAAACATCCAGAGTCAGACCGATGATGATCTCACAAGTACTGATGGTAGAGCAGGGGCTAGGATTAGAAAAATGACAGACAAAGGTCTTCAGTACAGTATGGAATCGAAAGAAAAGATTATACGTGGCATCACTAAGAAGTTGAACATTATAGAAGAACACATCGATTGTCTGATGCAGGATGAAGATGATTACACTTGTGTACAAAGTGCATACAGAGACTGGTTACTAAAATATGAAGAGTTTATGCAATCAAAACTTGACTATGAGGAATTATGTTTGCAGAGTGAGATGGTACCAGAGTTTGATAGTGTTTTAAGAACACAAAGTGAACATCTTTACTGGTTTAAAGATAACGTTTCTACATGGCTACAAATTAAGGACAAAGAACGGATTGAATCTGTTAGGTTTGAGAGACAGGAAGTTAGGTCCGGGACAAGTAGGAGTAATAGATCACTTGTTTCCAGGGTGAGTTCAGTAGCTTCAGCTTTGATCAAAGAGGAACAGAAGAGAGCTGAACTGTCAGCAAGAGCAGCAGCATTAGAGCAAAAGCAAGAGTTAGAACTTAGAAAATTCAAACTTAAGATGGAAGAAGAGAAACTAGAGTTGAAGACAGAACTAGCTATCACCGAGGCTAAGAAGACTGTTCTTGATGGGTTTGACTCACAAAATATAGCATATCATGAGCTTGGACATACAGACAGGAGGCATCCAGATGAGAATACATCTCGACGCCATGACCGTCGTATATTTATACAGTCGCCTGACAATGTGCCTTCGGCACCACCGGTTCATACTGATGAAGTAATTTCA